TCACAAATGTGGCCCTTGATAATTTTTTCAAAGACCTTCCCTAGGATAGAAGTGAGGCTGAATGGCCTGTAGTTGCCAGGCTCTTCCTTCCTCCCCTTCTTGAAAACAGGGACTACATTGGCCCTTTTCCAGTCCTCAGAGACTTGGCACGAACACCAGGAGTCCCCAAACAGCCATGCCAATGGCTCCACAATGACACTAGCCAATTCCCTCAGCACCCGCAGATGAAGGTCATCCAGGCCCGCTGACTTGGATACATCTAAGCCATCCAGGTAATACTTAACTAGGTCTGAACTAACAGTCGGGGGACTCACATCCTTCCTGGGTCTCTCTATGCTATCACCCGAGAGCACTCCACTGTCAGCAGACAGGAACACGGAGGCAAAGAACTTGTTAAAGAGTTCTGCCTTCTCTTGCACGTCCGTCACCATCTTTCCTGCCCTGCCCTGCCCTGCCCTGCCCCATAGAGGTCCAGTGTTACCCTGAGACTTCTTCTTGCTACCTATATACTTGAAGAAGTACTTTTTATTATCCTTAATCCAAGAAGCTAATCTAAGGTCCAGTGCTACTTTAGTCTTCCTTACCAAATCCCTACAAGCTCGGGTCAGGGAGGTGTACGCCTCCTTTGTCCCTGCCCCCTGCTTCCACCACCAGTACGCTTTTTTCTTTGCCCTCAGGCCAGCCTGGATATCTGCGCTCACCCATGAAAGTTTCTTGGACTCTTTTCCCGCCTTCCTGCTCAGTGGAATTGTGTCCTGCTGCACCCCAAGGATAGCCTCCTTGAGGAAGGACCACCTTTCCTCGACCCCCATACTAGCTACACCCTGGGCTCCGAGTGCCTCCCTGACTACTGCCCTGAGCACATCGAAGTTGGCTTTCCTAAAGTCAAGCATTTGTGCTGTGCTAGTTATTCTCCCCACCTTTCTCTGAATAGCAAACTGGATCATTTCATGATCACTGTCCTCTAGCCTCCCTTGTACTAACACATCCCCCACCAGGTCATCCCCAGAGGCTAACACCAGATCCAGTATGGCGTTTTCCCTAGTGGGGATGAGTATGTCTTGCACGAGGTGTAGGTCCTGTACGCACATGAGGAACCTTCGTGAACAGTTACTATGATGTGAACTTTTTTTTTTCCAGTCACCAGACATATGTAGGAGGTCCAAGTCCCTGGGGGCTGTGCAACTCCTTGTTGGCTCTTACTCTAGTCAGCCCTCTCTCAATTTGCTTGCACCATGCCCTGATCTTGTTAAAGGTTGAATAAAGGAGGCTGTCCATGGGCTTTAGAGTGAGCCTCAATCCTACCAAATCTCCATCGGGGTTCCCCTGAACCCCCACTAGTCTCAACTATGCCCTCAGGCTCAAATAGGCCCTCTTGGCCTGACCTTACTTGTGTAGGCTAAGGGGCTAACTGTGTGGCTCCATACCTCCCCTACACCACACCTGAAGCCTTGCATCTTGTGTCATCGTGGACATTTTCTTTGTCACCTGCTTATACTCATGTGGCCCTCCTCTGAATCCTCAGACAGCTCAGTATCCTGCACAGCCCCACTTGAGTCTCCAGTCCCTTCAGTCAGCCCCTCTCTAGGCTGCTGGACTCCTTGGCTACTCATTCAACTCCCCTCTGGGCTGCCAGACCCTCTAGTCCCTCCTTTGTACCCTTTCTAGGCCCTCAGACTTCTCAGCCCCCCTCTGGGCTTCCAGGCCCCTCAGTCTCACTCTTAGCACTTCTCTGGGGTGCTAAGCCGTCTGGTTTCTCATGTGGCCCCTTTATGCGCTTCAGGATCCTTTTGGTCCCACTACACTATTCCTGACTGCTTGCTGAGGTGCTGGAACCTGCCAGTCCCATTACGATATTCCTGGCCCCAATCTGGGATGCAGGACCCTGCCAGTCCCAGTCTCAGTCCCTGCTGGGCTTCTGGGTGTCTAGGTGAGCTTTGCCTGCCCCTGCAGGGCTCCAGGCTATACTGCTAGTGCAACCTAATAGCAAGCACCTGCCCTCTGGCAGGTACTCAAGCATTCTTCGAGGCTTCACATAAACCAGGGCCACCCGCCTGTATAAGCAAGCCCAGCTTGTACCCTGTGCTGCAGAGTGGCTTTCTTCCCGAATTCAGGAGCCCTGCTGCTCTGCTACCAGGAGCTCCTTGCTTCGTATCCTGCCTGGCTGGCTCAAGCTCAGGGTTTATACAGCTCTACCTGCTGCTTATACAGCTGCTGGTCAGGTGAGTCCTCGATTGCCTCTTTTTGCCCTGTTCAGGCGGCTTCTCTGGCTGCTTGCTCCCTTAAAGGAGCACCCTTGTTCTGAAGCATATTTCAACACAACCTATTTAAAAGGAGTAGCGTGACTTCTGAAATAACTTTATAAGGTTTCATTTTTAAATTAGAACCAATTAACTTGCTGTTCTTCCTATAATTCTGGGGAGAAAATTATGTTGCTCAGATGTTTTATCTGTGATCACAGTCAGATAATTATAAAAATACAAGTATTTCATACAGCTATATTATGCTGAAGTATTTTGCACCCCAAGGAACCTACATTATGAAATACATTGGCAAAATAAATTACAGCAGGAATTCTAGAACAAAGTTGTGTCGTAGGGTATTATATTTCCTCTTCTTTCCATCTCTATTTTTCCTCTTTAATATTATAAGTGGATGACAGCACTTTGATTTTGTTATTGAGAGAAAACAGGAATGCTTCAGATTAACTAATCATTCATATGGTTTATAAATATTCATAGTCTAGCTTTTCTGGTAACATTTTTACCGTGCATGGGTAGTGGGTGTGCCTTGAAATGGGATAACTGAAGGATGTGTACAAAAGAAGGGAAAAATAAGAATTCCAAGACTTTAACCTGCTCTTTTTTTTTCAGTGTTTGCCAGTTTCTGTTTGAAATATTCATAACATATGCATATAAAAAGTCTGATTAGTTCAAACCAAACAATAAAAGCTATAGCAGATATTGTTTGCTTTATATAAGTATATTTAATAGAATCTTGTTAACCATCACTTTAGTATAAGCAATCAGCTAGATTTTTCTCTCATGTAGCCCATATTTACAGCAGAGATGAATCTTGCCTGATGGCTTATATAAAATATTGTTGTAAAGCAGCCTTCATGAGTTCTTTTTGTAGGCCAAAGTCTGCTGCAGTTTTTCCTGTTGCCTGTATCTTAATGCTTTAGAAAGTTTCCCTTTGTCTTTACTTTGTTGCCCAAAAGGATCCTCTTGCTCTTCGAGGGTCCCCCTGTTAGACCATGGGTCTGGTATTTTTCTCTTGTATCATTTTTATACACATTTTTGTGATAGGCCTTTCAGAAATGTTTGTATCCCATTTCTAATGTATTTCACTTATTTCCGCTGTCCTCCTTTTAACCCCATCATCTTGATTAATCTAAAAATATTTCTGAGCCATCTTTCTAAGTTGAAATGCCAAGACGCTATCCAATTTGTTTTCCTTTTTTTTGTTGTTGGAAAAGCAAAAACCTATTAATTAACATTCAGTGTGATTTGAAAGTGGTTTTTAAGGACAATCTATGAAAAAAATCACGAAAAATGAGTGGTACTAACATACTACGGCAATCCTGACAGTTTAGGTTTCCCACAGATACATTCATATTAAATATTAATTTAAAAGCTGTGTTGTCATTTTAAACTTTAATGAGACTGAAATAAACTGAATTATAACTTCTGATGTAAAAGCTTCTTAATGTTTTGAAAAAACAGCGAGAGCCTTTGCAGCTGGTTTTTCTAAAAAATAAACATAATGTCCCACAACGAAGCACAAACCTTCAGCACTATAATAAGCTCAAATTATTTTGTAACAACTCACTGAAATACTATTTAAAAATTGTTTACAGTAAAAGAAAAGCCCAGCAGGATGTGATGCATATGTCCTGTTAGGTTGACAGGCAACCCAGCTTACATCTTGAGGTGCATGTCAGCATCTTGGTTGCCAAAATAAATCACAAAAGCTTTTGTTTTCGCTAACATTTTTAACGGATTTTGTGTAAAATTCACTTGGGTAGTCTGAGAGGAATAGCTTTAGAAAATGTGAAGATTTCAGAAACGGAACCTAAAGCAAAAAATCTGCTGTTGAAAAAATACCTTTAAAAAAACCCCACTAAAATGCTTTCTGTTATTGGACTGGAGTAGCAGTGAAACATTTCTGTTGTCATGCTCTGACTACCATTTATCTTTCACAAAAGATGATATAAGTAAGAGTAAAAGTATTTATAAAAGCAGTACATGATTTTTCTCTCTCTGCAGATTGCACGGTGGAAACATGGGGGTTTCCCATGTGCCAGTATTTAAAGGAAGAGCACTGGTGCTGTGGTCGCAATGCTAGAATGTCAGCATGCTTGGTACGTTTCTCCTTTCTTTTTCCCTCTTTTCCTACTAAGAGCTTTATCCAGATGTTATAGAATTCATTGTTTTTGGCTTGTAATCCTAGAGCTATGACTTAAATCCCAGATTCCACACCACAGAATAACATCATTAATGTTGTATGTGTGATAAATTATAAGTAAAAAAATTGTATTAACCTTCCAACTTTACACATTTTATACTTGCTGAGGGCAGGAAACAATGAGAATAGACAGAAATGTATTTTAAAAATGGCCAAAAAAGGCCACAGCTTTATTAAATTGAACAAGGCAACCCCTAGGGCACTAAGTCCTGGCAGCGTTTCTACCATCATTGACTTCTCCCAAAATGTTCATTGTTCATAATATTAAATATTCTAATTGTACAAAAACTAAACAAGTTGGTTTAATCCCCCAAACCAGACCAATCCTGCAATCTTAGGCAAGTTTCTGTATAAGGGAATTCTCTAATATTGCACACAGAGAGTGCTCCTGTGGAGCATGGCTACATCAGCAGCACAAAATGATGGGTTTGAGCCTAACCTAAAGGAATGAATGCGTCCCCACATTTTCTTGTTTGGGTTAAAAGTTCACCATCCCTAATCCCTATTGATTATAAAGTCCCATTACCTGAATAAAACATGAGAGATGCTTCTAGCTTCAAATTTTGTTGCTGCACCTTACCTGCAGAGAATAGAGCCAGCACTCAGCCCAGGCTAATATAAGATTACAGAGATCAGAGCTAACATTAGAGAACTGTGTGCCATTGAACTGAAATATGTCAGAACAGTTGTACAGTATGCTTTGAAATCTAAATATTTCACCCTCAGTAAAGTTTATGAAACATTTCAACCGATTGTGAATTCTAGAGCCTTATTTTGTTATTCTACAACAATCAAAAATGTCTTTCAGAAATATGTTTGCTATCTTTACTGGCCAGTGCAGTTCCATAACCTGCCCATAACAACCATAACCAGTCCATTACTTCAGTTAGCTCCCCAGTAAACCATCACCATCTACACATGCACCCATAATCGGGTGCAATAAGTGAATTAACTCCACTGTAGGATAATACTTTACGGGACAAGTACTATTGTACAGTGGAGTAGTTGTGTGTGCCGAACCACACGTGTAGACAGTGACTGGGGCTGGCTGCAGTGTGAGGGTGCTACAGTGGGGCTGCCTGCCAGCTAGCCGCGCACTGTAACACCCTCATGCCTCAGCCAGCCCATCCACAGCAGGCTGAGCCAGGACGAAGTAGCTCCCAGTTGGCAGACTGGCACACCACCTCCCGTGCCAACCCTAGGGCTGCTCTGTCCTAGTTCAATGTGCTGTGGTACTGGGTGCACATGTAAACGCTGCACCCAGGAAAAATAAACTCTGGCATGAATTGCACCAGAGTTTATTG